CCTCAAAAGAACTTCCTCCAGAATCCTGAATGCTTTTTGCTGTTGCTTGGTACCACCGCAAATGAAATACGAGCATGCCAGCCAGTATCCGTCATATCGCCGAGGCATGCAAGGTGCCATACTCAACCTTAAAGCATAGGATCAATGGCCAGAAAACTATAAAGAAGGCTGCAGAATTACGGCTAAAGCTCACAAGTGGTGAGGAAGCCGCTATAGTGGCAAACTGCTATATTCTGAGTTCCTAGTTACAGCCACCCCGTATGTCCTTGGTTTCTGAGATGGCTCTCTGTCTTCTACAAGAACAGGAATCAGGAATCACAATTGGGACATCATGGTTGGGTGAGAACTGGGTGTATGAGTTTGTTTAAAGACACCCAGAACTTAGTTCCAAGTTCAGCAAACAGATTGAGCACTGCCGTGCACTTAAACTCCGTAACCCTTTGGTACTACTAATGTACTTTGATACAGTAAGTTCCATGATATATGCTTAACCTGTAACTGTTAACTATATATTTTACTAATATATACACTATTTAGTTAGCTACCCTTATGCATGAGTATGCCATTGAACCCAAGAACATCTATAATTTTGATGAAATTGGCTTTATGTTAGGTTGCTCACGCTCCGAGAAAGTGGTTGTTGATATCAGACTTTTGCGAGAAAATGGTGCACTCCGCTCATTTGGTATGTTTTTTTAATTCTTTAGTAGTTTAATATAATCTATACCATAGCAAGCACCCAGCATAGTGAGCCTTCTGCAAGTCTGAGCAACATGATTGGCTGAATGCGCATTGAGATTGGAATAGTAGTTGGCATTTGTGTGGATGGCTTGCTATGACAGGTGCTCACTATGGTGTGGAATGTGTTTCCTCTGTTATGAAGATAGCAAAATAAAAAGAGTAAATATAGAACTAATGATAAATGCTATTAGATAGAACACAAGAAATGGTTACAGTGTTGGAAGGCATTTGTGCTGATGGGACAAGTCTTAGTCTAATGTTAATTTACAAGACACATTCTACGAAGGTGGCTTGGATTGACAAGAATGCTCTGCCTGATGTTATTATTGGTTACTCTCCAAATGGGTGGACTGATAATACAAAGGGGTTAGGGTATTTGAAAAATCATTTTGGACCAGAAAGTCCTTCGGCAGTAAAGGCAGAAGGAAAATGGAGGATGATAATTTTCGATGGACATGAATCTCATGTTTCTTGGGAATTTTTACAATATTGTATTGAGCAGAAAATAATTGCCTTCTGCCTTCCTTCTCATTCAACAAATATATTTCAACCACTCGATGTAGCAGTTTTTAGTCCCTACAAAAACTACTACTCTCAAATCCTTGAGCGCGAATTTCGGTATGGGAGATTTGGAGTCACAAAGGAGACATTCTGGCCATTTTTGGCTGAAGCTCGTGCAAAAGCATTTACAGAATCTACGATCAAATCAGCTTTTGCATGTACGGGTATTTGGCCTCGCTGATCGGTCAAAAGTTTTAAAAAAAATACCAACCTATGACCCTACTCACCACCCTAAGCCCAGTAAGAATCCTTCTCTATGTTTCTCTCAATCTGCATCAGATTTGTAAGTTATTTAAGTTCTATTACTTTTTGCAAATAAGTTATCAGTAATGTATTCTATACCATAGCAAGCACCTAGCATAGTGAGCCTTCTGCAAGTCTCGGCAATGGATTGGTTGAATGCCGGTTGAGATTGGAATAGTGGCTGGTATTTGGATAGATGACTCGCTATGATGAATGCTTGCTATGGTGTAGAATATGTTAGTATTCATTCCTGAGTGGGGCAGAGTCAGCTTTTACTTACTTGATTCCCACTCTGCTTTCCCCACCCGGCTTCCTGTATGGAAACTCCTACATACCCGCCTGGTCATAGAATCTGGTGGGTATAGTACACAGGAGCCCGCATGGGAGGTTAGCAGGGTGGGGTCCTGTAATAGGTTGAGAGTAAGGCAGAGGAGAAAATGGGTCTTGCCTGTGGCCGGATGCCAGGGTAGGGAAAACTGGTGCAGGCTTCCGAGTCTACCATTTTCACGGCCCTAAAGGCCCCATAATGAACTCTACTTATCAGACCTGTTATTCTCTTTTTCTATTTCAGCTCTATTCTCATCTATTCTAATACAATTGATCTTCTTTTTGCCTAGCAGTTCGACTCCGTTTACTCCTATTCTACATACAGCCAATCCACCTTCAATATCCAATCGAGAGAGCGACCTCTCAATCAGACCCAGTACTCCAGAAAGAGTACTCCTGCAAGCTCTACCCCCTACCCTGACTACTCCCCATTCTCTTAAGACTTTAGGAGAGGTGACATTAGCATCAATAACCTCCTCATCTCCCTCGAGCCGCTTGCAAAAAAACCGTATCACTAAAATCCTACATGCTGCTCAATTTTCACTTACTCGCAACTCTCTACTTAGTAGGATGCAACAGCAACAGCGTGAGGAGGAAGGAAGAAAGAGAAAAAGGCAGGAAGAAGGTTCTCTGGGTCGGAAACGAATCCCAGATCATGGTCAAGCATTTGCTACTATAGCAGATCTACAGGTACGGAGGAAGCAGTTACTGATTGGTGAAAGGAAGCAGGTTCAGAAGCAGGTAGATGGGTTGGAAAAAAAAAAGAACCTCTTACTAGTACGAATTGGAGAAGCAGAGCGGAAGATGGAAAGTAAGCGAAATATCTCAGCTTCACGGATTAAGAAAAGTGTAGAGAGTTGGGAGACAGAGATTCAAGATTGGAGTACGAAGCATGCATTGATATGCTCCAAGCTTGATACTGCCCAAGGACAACTTCGACAAATTGATATCAGATATGGAGATGAAATAGATGAACAGAATCTCAATTCTGGCCTGGTTGGGGGTGATGGGGATATACTCTCTGGGGACTCCGATATTGACAATGATGATGATGATAGAGAGTCTTTCTATTAAGATGTATTTATTGGAGATGTTGAGTTTCATTCGTCTTTAATGTATAGAATTCCTTATTTTCTATACCGGTAGTGTAGTTGGCCCCTATTCTCTAACCGAAGAGGCTAATCATGCATACACATCCTCCCTGCATATGACCTTTCCTGATTAGTATGAATGGCTCGCTATGCCGGGGGCTCGCTATGGCGTGGAATACGTTAGGCCGGAACTTCAACCCTTGCGCAGAACAGGAATCATACTTGTACGGGTATGGAAATAGAATGTTTTCTCTCGCCACACGACATATACCGGTAGTGAGTGGTATCATAAAATGAGCCCAAAGAGCAGCAGTACCGTAGCATGATGAGAGTTTTCTTTTCTTTCGGGTTCCTGCATTCATTCATTCATTCATTCTCGTTGTTGCAAGTTTCGTTTGGTTTGTGTTTTGGGGATTCTGGTTGGGGGTTTGTATGCACTGTAGAGTAACAGTTACAGTATGACATCTCCTTGTTGTATCGCCATGCAGTAGCGTCTACAATTTACCCATCATCATCCCGTACCGTATCATGCCAGAGTCTTGCCCACCACCCCTTTTTGCCCCGGCTGCTGCTCGATGATTGCGAGCTCGACTCGACCACGGTAGCTTTCTCATCTCATCTCATCTTTGCTCCTTTATACCGCGATATCATGTGTTTCCTTCTTCTTCTTCTAAACAGCCAATCTCATCATGATACCATTTCCTTAACATTCGGGAATTCGGGGGGAGGAGGAGTGCAAGAAGAGGCAAAAGCAAAGGATGGAATACCGGTACCTACTTGTATACCAAGGGGTATCACATCCGTACCTGTAAGAAGAAGAAGAAACCAACAAAAGTCAAAAAAACGAGTACGTGTACTGTATGGTACGGTACGAAAATACAACACACTTTGATAGACTACCAAAAGAGAAAACACCACACACGACACAATACAGAAAAACGCTTATTTATTTTATTACTACACGAGTGATAGCAGGACCATGATGCCGGCACCTTCATGAAAAGAAAAAAAAAAAAATTTCTTAGTAATTTACTGGGAGGGACGGACTTGGTGGTCCCATGCGTTTGACCCTTTGTCTAAGGTTTGGAGAAGAGGATATATGATGATAACTGAGCTCACGTCGCTCCAACCGCGGTATAAATAAATAAATAGATACCGGTAGTGGCAATGATGGTAGTGGTGGTAATTGCCACTCGGATGTTTAGTGATGGTGTGATGTGGTGTATATATATTATGGGACAGACGGGTAGGTGCGTGCTGTACCACTGGTACTCGAGTAAAAGTACTATCGTACCTCGCCCCCCCCCCCCCCCCAAATGACTGCATTTGTGATTAGTTAGCCACGGTGGAATAGAAGGGGGTTTCTCTACGAATAGGTTCACAATTATTCCGATAGATTATCATTGTGGGGGTTCTTTTTTCACTTTTTTTTCTTCTTCTCATGTGCTATTTCGTTTGTATTGCCGTGCGGCGGAGTTGCTTGCAGTCTACAGTACTCGTATAATACATGCTACCAGCATTGACTGATTTCTTGACTGGCTGACTGGAGCAAGTGAAAGAGCTATCTAACTTACGACACCATAACATTATGGTATGATACCACATCTGTGATCCCAGGATGCAGTAATTACCGACATCTATCCACCACAGATTCTCGGGTCCTGTATTCCATCCAATTTGCCGCAGATCGTCGCCATGTGGGCGGTAATAGAGCAACGCTGTTTAGCCTGCATGTCCTAAACTACCGCTGCGACACGGGTAAGGCGATAGGGACAAACGTGGTCTGTCATATCCAGAAACCTACAGGAGCAACACTATACTGCATCACGCCACGGTAATCATGGAAACCTTTCATAAGCAACAATCGAGGGAGGAGGTACAAAATCAAGGGGGAAAAAAGGGAAAAATTACGCCCAGATTGTTGTCATGACAGACCCCCCCCACACAGACACCTTTTATTCATCTTCTCCCCCTCCCTCGCATCCTTCTCTCCCGATTTGTGGGGGACGGGGGGGGAATGAGTAAAAAAAAAAAAGTAGTAAAAAAATGCATTCGCTCTTTCTTTTTTCAAGTGGAAATGACAAAGATAGGATGAAAAAGTGAATTTATGCAACCGGTAAACCTTCGATAACTCCTTGCTCTTCGTTCAATGGCCCTGTCCCGACCCTGTAAGATACCTTCCACCGCAACTTGACATTCCCACCGCCACCTCTCGGGACTCCTGACACTCGGATAATCTGTGTTACCCCTGCTCTCTGATGAGCCTCGAGATGTCTACTGCTTTGTGGTTCCATCCTGAGAGCCATTGTCTACAAGAATTTGTAATGTCAGTAATTTTAGTCTTTCACTTTTTCCCCTTCCATCTGCCCTCAATTCCCTTCTCCGAAAAGCCAAGACCACACTCCCGGGCCGGATAGGGGCGGACTGATAAGAGCGTAACATACCCTTGTGACTGCCATCTGAAATGTCAGGTCCTGGATGGGCTGACTTGCGCTGTTGGAAAACTTGGCCTTCACCAATATCGGGCCGTCAGGCATAGTGACGGGCCTATGTATATCCAACAGAATATGCAGGTTCGAATTGAGGATCACGAGCTCATTTTGCGAGACCGGCGGGGGCGCAGGCTCCGGCGGCAGCGAGGAGGTGAATGCCCAATCGTCATCATCATTGCCGGCATCCCCGCCATTTTTTTGCTGGGCAGGAGGGACCGGCGCCTGTTGTATTGATGGTGGAACGAAGCCACCTGGCGCCATCGGCTGGGCTGAAGGGGTTGCTGCATTTTGGAAATAATTGGGCAAGGCTGGGGACTGCCGTGAACCCTGAGGTGCGGGCGAAGTTGAGGGTGTGATACGCTGTTGTTGACCGGCGGTGTTCGCTTCAAGTGTTGAGGATAATAAAGGCGGGCCAGGGATACCTAACGTTTCACGCATTTTAGCACTGTGGAAGCAATCAAGACATCACTGCTCACCTGTATTGGCCCCAAACCCAAGCGCAATCCCACCGCCCTGTCCAAACGAGCTGCTTCCACTATCTTGAAACGATAGCCCCAACAAGTCATCTTCTAATGAGGCCGGCTTTCCGCTTGCCGGTGCTGATGGACCACCATTCGCACCATCCTCTAAATCTATAAGCGAAAGCTCCGCGGCGGGAGGAGGTGGAGCTGCTGACGGGGGCGCGCCGGCCATGAGTGGTAGTGCTTTTGCGGAATCCAAGTCACCCCGCTTGACAAAGTTATATCTCTCAACCGTGGTATTGATAACATCATTAAGCTCCAATAGTTTCACAACGGCATCTGGATCTTCGCTTTCCTCCTCTATTATTTTCTGGATTTTTGGTTGAGCAGTTTTTAAGGCACTTGCTAATTCCTAAAACTCGTGCCTGGTTAGCACCCCGCCAACAAAGCAACGTATTCGTGCCAAACAAAGGACATGCCTCAAAAGTATCCTGCTGACCGATCGTTTCCCCCTTGTGAACCTTCCCAAGCATCTCCTCTAATAACCTTGCCTTCTCACGGAGCTTCCCAATCTCTTCCGCGGCCTTTGCCCGGTAATCGGTCCTCGAGGTTTGATCGTACCCAGCCATAATTTTCATCAAATGGTTGGCTTCCTGCAAGTCCGCCGGTGTGCCTCTTCGAATCAATTCCTGGAGCTTTGCGGACTGGGCAGCTCTCTCCTCTTCCTCCATTTCTTCGGCGGATTTCAGTATCTAAAACCAAACACTCGTCAGCGATTCCAACCCTCCATGGCCAATGATTTCACAACGCGATATCCCGTAGAGCCGCAGAGTAGAGGACGTGTGACCTACTTCGCTGGGGTTCAGAACCGCTGCATCCTCTCTTCTAACCTCCGGAAACACATATCCCTTGTAGCTTAACAACCTGTGCATATCCCTAATGAAGCCCAAGTCGTCTTTATAGCGGCTTGTCTGGCATATCGTTCCCCTCCATTCCTCAATCGCCTCGAGAATCTTTAGGTGGACCCTGCTCGGTCTCGCAGGCGGTCTTTCGGGAAAGCGACGAACGAGCTCATTCAGGAAGTCCTTGGTGGAAATTTGCAAGTGAAAAGGGTAACCGCAATTCTTGACACATATATCGAGGAGCTATACCACATCAGCTTCCCTCCCAACAAAAACCGGGGTCCGAAAGCTTCCCTACATTAAGAGCCAAAAGTGAAACATTACCATTCCGATGATTGATATAGTTCACGATCGCAACAGCCGCTTCCCGGGGCCTAAACGAACGATAAGACAGTCAGTTCCGACAATCCATCCACCCCCCCCCCCCTTCTCAAAGGGAGTAACCCACGCATTCCCCTTTCTCTTATTGATCTCGTCCGCAATCTCCAAATTCAACGCAAGATTAGGCTCATAATTTACCGGATCGCAAGCACTCTCTAGAAAGCTCAGAAACCGTCAGCGAAAAACCCAATCCTCCATCCGGTAGGCATCCCCGGGGGTGCGGCGCTCTAGGAAGTGACATACGTATAAACCGCTGGAGCTTGGAACCGTTCGGTTCCTGTGGGAAAGCGCCGAATCGATCCCTCGCGGCCATCCTCGCAGTTGCGTACTCCAGCCTTGGAGATGGGGGGGTGGGAAACTTGAGAGTAAAGTGACCCGGAATTATGCGTTACCCGGTTGTGGTTTCGCTGAGGGGATCGTCTGGCCGGATTCCTGAGATTCTTATTATTATCAAGGCGATGAGGGGTGGAGGGGTTCTAGCCAAGTTACCTATAGGGCTGGGCTGACGAAGCTAGTTGTTAGTCAGCGCTCACGTGATCACGTATAATTGTCGTTATCCAGTCGAGTGATGGCCTGTGCTCCGATGCTATCGTTTAAAAGTCGGGGAAGGAAGAATGCTCTCTCTTTCTTCCCTTAACCGTGCGTATATTTAAGCCGTTTTCGAGGAAGTGATGGGGGGCGGATTTTGTTGTTCACGTCACATCATCGAAAATGGGCAAGTGGAAGGTGGTCCATGACCCGTACGAGTATGTTAGGGTTAGAAGTGAGACCAAACCATTCAATGGATAGCCAGAGAATAAATACCAAGTATGATATGAATATCTCACTCCCTGTATATATATAACCAGAGTTATACCCAAGTCCCCGGCAACTGCGAGAAGGAGACTATGATACCATGAAAATAGAATAATCGAACCGAGTGAGAGGTATCACACGACCATCCAGAATTCCACCCCGTATATTCCCGCCACTTTTTTATTTATTTTTAGGGCCAAACGTAGGCAAACAGAACCGGAAAAAGTTTCCCACCACCACTCCCCAGCGCCCGAAATAAACTCCAGCAGGTTTTCACAATTTTCCTGAAACCTGGCCATTTGCATTACAAATACGAGTGATCAGCCATGATTATTGACAACTATCATACCCTAGAGGACAACATCACCACTCCCAACCGGCAACCCTACCGGTGTCTAATATATAAAAAAAACCTGTTCTTTTCTATCGTATGATGACAGCAGTCGGTTTCTTATTACATTACTCCTCGACTAGCTTGGTGAGAACCGGCGGCATGGACCAATCGATAGAATCGAAAGGGTATGATACATCAATAGTGTTACACGCGGTGGTACAAACACAATTCAACGACAGACGTTGGTAAAACATAGTAGTGTACAGTACTAGGACAAATCTTTTCGTCCGATGCCCTTTTTACACCAAAAGCCCCCATCTTCACCACCCTCTCTCTCCTTGCACAATTTTTATCAGAATCAGTGGAAATTTATCCATGCATTAACAAGCCCATAGATAACATGAAAAACATTACAGAACCCTTAGATATTATAAAGTGATGGAGCAAAGGTTGTTTAAGTATCTGGTATCAGTTGCCATGTACTTTTTTGTATGGAGCCCCATACAAAAATTGAGGTCACTTTTATATTGGTCAATGCAATGATGAACAATGAAGACAGTTTTGGTCCCTTGTACTTGTACATGTAGAGGTGGGAATGGATAGTCATTCCATAGCTTATGAAACAATTTGAGGTGTTATCATATTATATGCAGCATTGAGAATTGTCCTGGAAAATGTCTATTTTTGGTGTAAAAAGAGGATCGGACGAAAAGATTTGTCCCCGTACTTTTATGATGCCGACAATTTCAATTGCGAGCCCGCCAAAACGCTGGGAAATATCTCCCGTGCAGAGGGAGCAGCGCACTCTCAAGCACACCTCGCCTTCCGGCATCATTCATCGAAGCCAGCAACAGTATACTCGAGTACCATAACATTATCATACCCCCGCCGATCGGGACAGTACTATAGTTGGCTCCACTGACTAGATAAGATAAGATAAGATCGGAGCCTCACAATACTATACCTAAAGGATCATGATACCTATCCTCTCCCTCGACAGTGCCTGACATACCAGTTACTGAATCATACATACTACTTGTATAACAATACCGGCACGGCACTTGGACTACGGTGCTCGAGTACGGTACTTACATTATCTGGAAACCACGGCACTCGTCATGGAATCGATACAAAAATTAGCAGAGCAGTGGCTCGCTGTGGATAATGTAACTCGGTCCATTATCCCCCCCCCCCCACTAGTTCGATCCCGGTGAAACTGATCATTCCGCTTTGATAGAACGACCAAACAAGGTCCGAGATCAGCGCCCTGTTGCAGGGGAATGACACCCAGGAACTGGAAAAACGCTTGAGGACTAGTGCATGCCCATTCCCGTGTCGATCTCTACGTATGCGCCGGGCTAATCGGTGAGGATTCAAGGGATTGAGTTTGGCACAGCGGGCCTCCGGGCTCGCATGGAGGCCGGGTTCTCTCGGATGAACGATGTGACGGTGATTCAAGCTTCTCAAGGACTAGCGAGTTACATAAATTCTGAATGTTCACAACCGAGCGTGGTGATCGGCTATGATCACAGACACAATAGTGAGCGGTTCGCGAAACTAACTGCCGCGGCCATGTTACGATGCGGAATCAAGGCAAACTTTCTACAGTCCCGGTACAAGGAAAGACACGCGAGTGCTAATTACCGTCGGGTGTTGTAGGTATATTACTACGACTCGCTTGTCCACACACCACTTATTCCCTTCGGCGTCAGCTACTTCAAGGCGAGCGCCGGCGTGATGATCACGGCGTCGCATAACCCAGCGCTGGACAACGGATATAAGGTCTATTGGGGAAATGGCTGCCAGATAATCCCGCCACATGACAAGAATATAGCCCAGCGGATCGAAGAGAACCTTGAGCCCAAGTGCTGGGATGTGGGGCTGGTGGATAGGGATGAGCGTGTTGTTCGGCCGGTGAAGCGGGTGACGGATGCGTACCTCGCTGCCCTGAGGGAATTGGAAGTGGGACTTGGGCGTGGAGAGAACCATCGGCTGCAATTTGTATATACACCTATGCATGGCGTTGGACTATCTTTCATGTCGAGGATTGCTGCTGAGATGGGGCTGGGTGATTCTATGATGCCCGTCTCGGAGCAGGTGAGCTTTATCCCTGATTTCCCGGAGCATCACGGCACTGACCCTTGTGGGTAGGCAGCGCCGGACCCTAACTTCCCCACTGTCAGATTCCCAAACCCGGAGGAGAAGGGAGCCATGGACCTGGCGGTAGCTACCGCAGAACGCATGGGGATCCATCTTGTTCTAGCGAGCGACCCTGACGCTGATCGTTTTGCTGCCGCCGAAAAACTGCCGTCCGGAAAATGGCACGTATTCACCGGGAACCAATTGGGTGTACTTTTTGCAGCGCATGTTGTCGGTGCATATCGGGAGGATGGGAAGGATATTTCGAAACTCTCGATGCTAGCATCAACTGTGTCCACACAGATGTTGCACGCCATGGCCGATACAGAGGGTTTCTATTATAATGAGACACTCACGGGATTCAAATGGCTCGGAAATCGTGCCATGGCCCTGGAGAAGAACGGCTACGATGTCGCTTACGCGTTCGAGGAAGCAATCGGTTATATGTTCTCGCCCATAGTCCACGACAAAGACGGTATTGCTGCCGCGAGTGTGTTCCTCACGATGGCACGGCGATGGGCAAAAGAGGGGTTCACCGTGTGTCAGAAGCTGGAACAACTCTACCAGAAATATGGGTACTTTGAGACTGCTAACTCGTATTTTCTTTCCCCCGACCCGCTTATTACGAAAGGAGTATTTGCTGCCATTCGCAAGCTAGGGGATCCGTACCCGGCGAAGGTCGGTAATCGGGATATAATCAAGTGGAGAGATTTGACCGTGGGATACGATTCTTCTGTCCGAAATAGGGAACCCGAACTACCTGTCAGTAAAGATTCGGAAATGATCACCGTGGAGTTGGAAAATCGGGTTCGATTCACTGTCCGAGCCTCCGGAACTGAACCCAAAATTAAGAGTAAGACAACACTACACCATGTTAAAAATCACATGCTCCGTCTTGTAAACTTTGACCCCCCGAGCCGCTAACAACGGTATCCAGTGTACATCGAATGCAGGGCATCAAGTTCAGAAAAAGCCAAGGCAGGAGCGCAAGAAGCATCCGAAGCTTTGACCAAAGAGTGGTTTCGGCCAACGCAAACTGGACTTGAACTACCCTAGCTACGAGACCAATTACCGGTAGGAATCCCAGATACAAACCCGTATAGCGGGAGCGCTATCTACGAGTAAAGTTGGGACGAGCGAGTAAGGAGGGGCTTGGGGTGTAGGCAAATTTTTTTTTTTTTTTTTTGCTTTAGATGGTAAACGGAGCCCTGTCCCCTTCCAGAAATTTGAAAAGAAGTACCGTAAAGAAACTGAACGCGGAGTGAAAAAGCAAGTCAACAGTACTTGTAGAGGTGAAAAAGCAAAGTGAAACAAGAACAAATACCTTGGATCGAAACTCCGTCCTGGAACACGATGAAGACCAGAGGGCCAAATAAAGAAATATGCGTCCCGAAGCACCATCTTTTTCACGCCTCACTTTGGCTTCAGAAACGAAATGGGAAAGGAAAATCGTGAACAAGACCCCACGTCAGCTTCACTAACATCATAGCAGTTGTGTGACGTCCACCTGTGAGGGTCATTGGGACCGAAAGAATGCAAAAAAAGAGAGGGCAGGGAAAAAGAAAGAAAGAAAAAGACCCATTTGATATCTTCCATTCACATAAAACTCCACACAAAACACGTAGAAAGTAACACTTTTGGAGATATATATCCGATGCTGATTCTGAAATCCGGAAAATTGAAATGACGAAGAGATCAACTATAATGAATGAGTGAACCGCTATAAACCCCTCCCTCCTCCTTCTTTCCCCCCTTCCTTTGCGCCCCTGCGATGTGAGGTATGTTAGAAGGTGAAATCATGCGTATCAGGTATAATATCGTAACCGCTGATGCCGTGTTGCAAAGGACGAGAGGAGATGCAGAGGTTCCGTGGATTGAGAAAATCTTGGCGGCTACATAACGTAGAGCAGCCTCGTATCTAAAATGACCCAACGTACGTTAAAATTTTCGTCCTTGACGCCAACCGTAGAGCTCGTAAAATCAGAAGCAGTAAAAGGCTAAAATAAAAACAAATGTGACAAGTACAAGGAGGTTCTGAGAAAGGTAGAAGAAGGAAAGATAAAAAGAAAGAAAGAACGGAAATCCTAAAAATACAAAGCAGTGCTGGGTATTGATAATCATGAAGATGTGTATGTAAGAAGACATGAGGAGATGAAAAGGGGAAGTTGAAATCTTAAAACTTAAATTCCATCTGCGAAGAATCAAGGGGGTGACCGTCTGTACCTAGTGGATGGCTGCAGCTAAGCTGGGGTTTTTGGGAGTATTTCCCCTGAAGTTCTTCTCGAATACTGTTGAGAAGTTGCTGGTAAGATTGTTGCGAGTTCTTGCTGAGAGCTCTGATGAATGCGTAACTCATGGCACCAGTAGCTTCTCCGCCTTCAGTAGCATCGGCACTACAATTTTCCCTACGTTAGACGTCTCAAGGAATCGATGATTTCATGTGAAACATAAAGAGGCTCGTACGATGTCTGACTGTCCTTCGAACCTGACCACTGAATGACATCTGCAGCAGATGTCTTGGTCCTCTTTGCCCTTTCCTCGGCCCCTCTTCCCGTGGTAGCCCTCTTGAAGATTCCCATGGCCGACTGTGCAACACCTCCGAGATCTCCCCTCGAGTAGGCGCTCATAGCATCGAAAAGACCAGAAGCAGCCTCCTTCGCAATGTTGGGCTCCTTCTCGACACCACGGGTGGAGTAGAGGTATGGAAGATCTAATGCAGAACCGGAGTGGCAGGAATCGAAGATTGCAGTCAATCGAACGCCAGGCTTGAGAGGAGCAACCCTGCATGTTGTCAATAATGGTTTTGACAATACCGGGAAGCTTTCTTACATAATTCTATGCATATCGTCATCAACAATATGGCCATTGTACCTGAAGTCTACCGGAAAGATGGTTTCATCATATCCTAAGAAATGTTAGCCTACGTCCCCGCCAAGGCGTGGGGCTTTTTTTCCCCAGCGTTACCAACCATCTCCCTCATCACCATCAAGATCTTTGGTTTGCCCACCATGGCCTGATTCGAGGGTTAGCAATTGATAGACTTTATTATTGCACTGCAAGATATACCTGAGTAGTGGAAAAATAACGAATCATTGGGTGCCGCATCTTTGACCAGCCAATGCATAGCCTGCATAATGTTCTGCTTCGTGGGCTGACTTCGGGGGTTCTGTTGATCGTCGGTCAAGACTACCATATCCTCACGCTTGTAGCTGAACCGGTCGTGTAGAAACGCTGACATGTTCTTCACATCGTTGATGCATCCCCTCAATTGCCCTCGTTGACCAAAATAGTTGATGCCGATCAAAAGTGCCTTACGCTTCCCGGTGCAGTTGCTGAATGCATAGCCGATCTGAGGAGCTCCAGGCACATGAAACGACTGCACACCTTGGGGAGGGAGGTTCGGGGCTCCTGCCGGCGGTGGATGGTTGTACATATACTGCCCGGTTGGCATATCTGGGAAGATTGAAACGCTGTTAGTACTGTTGTAGGAGGACGAACCCTTCTGTCGGATATATATCAGGGGGGACAAACGATTTCCTTGGGGTGGTATAGCACCCTGGTATTGCGGAGTAGCCTGCGGAGCCCATTGTGGTTGCTTTTCAACATGTCAGTCATATATTCCATGACAAGGAGCAAGAAACAAAATATCTGGGTGGGCTTACCTGTGGCTGGGGAGGGTATCCGTAACCCTGCTGTGGCGGCGGCTGTTGATAGTAACCCGCTGGAGGTTGAGGGGAGGGCGGTGGATAGTATGGCTGCTGCTGCTGCTGGCTATTTCCAAGTGCAAAAAAGAAGGGCATCAGCAAACGCCGTTCGAAAGGCCACGAGGCTTCAGATTGAGGCAACGTACTCTCCATACGGTTGACCAGGATAAGGATTATATCCTGGGTATTGGTTGTAGCCAGACATGCTGGATCAGAGCTCACAGGGAAGTAGAGATCTCGAAGTGTCCGGTGAAAAAGAAGACAGAGAGATATGGGTCAAGTCGAGAGGTGTATTCGTATGTCCGCGGCAGAAGTCCAGGAAGCCTCTCGAGTGCTCCAATGATGACCGTCTAGCGAGTGATGCAGATCTAAGAGGCTTTGAGGGGTGGAATGTCGAAGGCCTTTATACAGGGGCAGAGAGGGGATCGGGGAGGATGTAAGCGGGGAGAAGTGAGGAGGGGTGGTGGAGATGGCGCAGGCGTGAAAAGTTTAGTGGAGGGAGGACGAGAGGAAGCCAACGAGCGGGCAAGCGGTACGGTAGTCTACGCTGGGCGAGGGACTGACAATAGAAGGAACTGCGGCGTACTGTACTCGTAAGTCCTGGGGCACCTGAAGGGATGTGCGAGATTCACTCCATTTCCCAGTGGTGGGGAGGTCGGAATAGGAATAGGAATAGGAATAGGAATGGCACCCTATTTTTTTGCACCACCACCACCAGCCCAAGTTACCGTATTATGTAGTCAGAAAGCAGTGCAAGAAGAACCAATCTAACACCTTTGCCGAACCCTATCTATCTATGCCTACTGCGCAGCTCCTTGGCCACAGTTGGAGAAAGGAGAAACAGGACAACCCAACGGCCGCCCCGAGCGAACCTTCCATCGCATCCCCTCCATTTCGCCCCAACTCCTCCACCTTAACCCTTAACCTACCGATAACAGTTACAGTATTACGCTCATTTCGTCCAAGTAAATCCGAGAGTGGATAGCAATAATTCCATCTATCACGACATCTCGGACAAAAATAGATATAGAAAAAGTCCCAGAACTATCAATTCTCTCGGAACTACGCATAATTGGGGAAATAATCGTCCTCCCACCGCTTTCTCCCCAATGGTTCCCCGTGTCTCCAGTTTCCCGTGGGAGAACATGCTCCCCTCGACTCGAGTGCACATCAAACGTCTTTCCTCATTACTGCTGAAACATCCCCACCGATCAAGTCCAATGAATCTGGTGCCCGTCATCATGGCCCTGTGTTGTCTCGGTGGTATGGTAGACGCTGCACGCCTACATCTTTTCACCAAAAGAGTATAGTCCTACATCATGTACTCCCACTCCGTTGAGTGCCCTCAGCTGGGGACAGGCATGAATTCTCGAGTACATTTTCCTTTAATGGCTAATCCTTCTCAGCCGCGGTCCACCCGAGCCAACCACAACACCGCCCCAAACCTAACTGTGCTATCCAACGAAGAGCCACACCTACCCAAGAGCGAAAAGAGAGAAAGAGAGAGATTGCCTTCACCCCTCCCACAGAGTTCAATTCCGCGCGATAACTTTGGGGCGAAGCTGAATCTGCACATCTGCGAGATCTGATCTAGTTGGGAACTTCTTGCGGGAAAAAGTTTTTGGCGACATCATCGGTTCCAGGTAGGCGGGAGGATCCTCCCCCCCCCTCCCGCTCCTTCCTCTTTCTTCCTTCCTTCCTCACGCCTAGCCCTGTAACCCACATGGTCATAGGGATCCTTCGGTTCGTCCTAGATGCGCAAGGGAGAATGAGGATGAAGCGGTTGCCCTCCTTCGACGCTCGCTTTGCTTATTCCCCGAGTTTAGTAGTATAATAGTTTAGCCTACTATATACCGTGTGCTCTTCTAGTAAACTCGTCAGCTCCTGGTTGCCGAGCACATTCAAATTACAACTCGTTCTGACATCCAAATCAGTTTCAGCTATGCCATTGTCCCCTTATCTTGGGCTTCAATAGCACAGAAGCACGTTACCCCCAACCACCGATGTCCACACAAAGGCACGGGTGCCCTTCTGCTCCGTGGGTTGGATCCCGAATGAGGATGACCGGCTCGAAGACGGGCTTCCCAGACATTAATGTTCCCCTCATCGCACAACCCGCAGTGCATACCTAAGCTGAACATATTCCCGTGCAGCCCAGCTGGTAACCAATCCCCTACCACCAAGCTTTCTCGGGGTGGCGTTCCTACTGCATACCGGTAGTGGGTGTTAGTGTTTGCGAACTCGAATTTGCTGAGAGGTCAGACCCCAGCAGCGAATTCAACCGCGACCGCAGCAAGTGGGGAGAGCACCCGCCTGAAAGACGCTGGGAACTCCTGATCCAATATGAAACAAAGATGGGGGTTCTTCTCACTTCGGGACGAACGCCCTACCCTTCCGCGCTGGAAACTCAAAGAAATAATCCAATTTATAATCCGCACAAATGTCTTCACTGCAGGATCAGTTCGGCACCTGTAAATCCTGCAAACCCAAGACCTGATATATTACACGAATGACGGCAATTCTTCCCCTGAAGATCACAGCGACACTGGATCTGTCTCCGTGGGGCCTTCCAACCAACGAGAAGATCGGATAACAAAGTGCCACTCAAACATGACAAAGCCTAGTTCGCACGACCCGGCGCACTGCGAGTATAATTTCCGGGAACCCACCAATTGGTGCCCCCCACCACCCTGGCGAACTCTCTTTTAAAGTTACCGGGATGCTCGCCATATTCGATACGATACGATATCCCTTCTCGATGGATCTTTTTTCTCGATTGTCTCAGACACCGAATTTCAGTGTTGATAGTCCGGCAGATATTCCCTCTCGCCTTCTTCACTTCCTGTGTTGCATTTCATTTTTCACACTCACGTTTCCTTCTTTGAGCAGATGCACATCTACCAGGAGTCGCACATGTTGCCATACCACTTGTAACTTATGTTCTGTTTTGCTTTTCTTTTCGTTCTCTCCTGTCCTAATATTTCTTGGACCTCCATCCACCCATTTTTACCAAATCCCATGACCACCACTCGAGCCGGGGTTGGATCTCGTTTCTGTATCCACTTGATTCACCTAACACCAGACATACGGCACGGGGCAGTAGAGAGCAATACCTCAGCTCTTGCCCCGCAAATTGACTCCGTAGAATTGCCATGATCCAGCCGATCCTCTTCAGGTCATTTGACCTGTAGGATCCCATCCCCTGGCATTCCTTCTCTCTCTCTCTCTCTCTCTCTCTCTCTC